TTAAGAATAACATAAAGAAATGATTAATTAATGCAAAACTAATATAAAATGAAAGAAACTGCAATTTTTGTTAGAAAAATAAAATATGCTCGACCCGTAATAATATGTGAGATCCTACTCATATGCCAATAGCTAGAAAAGGTCACCAAAACCAGCATAAAATTGCATATATACATATATATATGTGTACAAATACATGCATGCATACATGCACAAACACGTACACACACTCACAAAAGTAAATTGTCTTTAATTGACACCAAAACATTTTTTATGTTAAACATATAATCGTAGCATGATCGTCTTGTAATATAACCATAACTCGCAGATTCTAAGAGCTAAATACCCAAAGCTTGTTAGGGGTAGTTTCTCGTATAGTATATCTTACTTTTGGTATAATTTGTCCAAGTTCTTTCTTTCGGATATACTCAGTCGCACCGACAGTCGCATATCGGCGGAGCTGCTGATTAAGAACAATATATAATTAACACACAAAATGAGAGTGGGCGTGGCACAGGGAAACATTTCAAGTGGAATATGATTTAAACTGAAGAATATGGGCCACGCTGACAGCTGCTGAGGTAAGAGTAGTCGAGCCGAGTAGTTGAGTCGCAAAAAAAAATAACAAATTAAATATACATGACAAATTACCAAATTTGTATACTTAATGTAGGTGCGTGTGCGAGTGTGTGTGTGAGTGTGTGTGTGTGGCAGCAATGGGAGGCAGTGTCGACGTCGGCGACGTTCACGGCAATGAAATTCAATCCAGTGTCCATTTCTTGCAACATGCCTGCTGCTGTTTGTGCAGGCATAAAAATTTAATAAGCAACCAAAAGAGGGCTATAATAAAACCGTGAGCCGTTGTTGCAGACGGCGCAGTGCGCTGAGCCACTGCTAAATTCATCAGCCCCCAAAACCAGCACGCCACAAATTATGCTATTAAAAAAAAAAAAGAAGAATAAGAAACAAGCCCCGGCACAGTTGAAGCGACAGCACTTGAGCCAAAATTGACATAGGAGACAGGTCTGACAAAACAGGTCGTGCGCTCCTTAGAACGTGCCTGGCCAGGGGCCAAACGGCCTTTGGCCTTATTAGTGACGCATTTCGGGGTCGACTCAAGGGCCCGATCTCGTTCAACACATATGGAAAATGCATTTCGAGTGATTTCCTGTGCGTTTATTATGTCTTGAAATGAACATGAGCTAACCTAACCTTACTCGAGCTAACCTAACCTAACATTATACAACTTAACCTAACTTTAATGTACTCGATTGGCTTTTGCAGAAAATACCTTTTCAATCCTTCTCAAGCAGTTAATGGCGTGTTATAGCCACAATTTCTGGCTTGACCAATATTCATACAGAACTATCATTTGCTTTGGCATCATGTATGCAAATGTTTGCACTGTTTGTGTGTGTGTGCGTGCGTGTGTGTGTGTGTGTGTGTGTGTGTGTGTGTGTGTGTGTGTGTGTGTGTGTGCGTGTGTGTAAGTGAAGAACGACTGTGGGAATTCTAATGAGCAGCACTGCCTCCACTATGGCGCGTGGCAAGTTCACAAAAACAAATAACAAGTGAACACAAGAAAACAGCTCGCTTTCGGTTGATGTACATTGGATACCCTGTAAGCTTGTCATTAATCCTGTTCATTATCTAAGGCATATGGATATAATGATATAAATATTAGTAATATATTAAATAATAAATATAAATAATAAATAATGTTTAATGATTAATGATATATCAAAGATGAATAAACATTGTTTATGATGTGTGATTAATGAGCAATTAGTAATGATTAATGATAAATAATAATAATTGATAAAAGATAAATAATAATTTATTCCAAAAATAATAATAATAATTATAATTATATATTGTCTGGTGATAATATATTCCAATATTGAAATTTATTAAAATTTCTATATCAACCCGAGAATTGCCTCCGTTGAGGGTTCATTCACATCAGGGCCCGTGCAGAATACCCAACGTAGGTGTATTTGAGGAGAAAAAAGGCATTTATCACGCGCAATGCAAAAGACTTCGAGAATCGCTTTTCTTCAATGCAACAAATAAACGCAATGCGAAAAGTGTCACAAAAAGCGCTCAATGAATGAATGAAGAGAAATGGCCAAAAACAAATGTGGACAAAGGGAGCAGAACAAAAGCCAATTGAATTTACCTGCAGCTGGGGTAGCGGCAGGAGCAGGAGTAGGTGCAGATAAAGGGGCAAAGGTACCACTAAATACAACTCAAAGTTATACAATTAACAAACGTCGCTGACGGCCATTGAATTTTGCCTACACGTGACTGCCTCCAGATGTTGTGCCACAGCGCTGCGGCATAATGTTGGCAGGCGGCGGCGGTGGGTGGCGTGTGGTGTGTGGTGGGGGCGTGCCTAAAGCGGCGGCTATGCAGCGGTTAGGCAGCTAATCGAATCAGTAGACCGCAGCAAAGTCGCACCAAAAAATAAACATGTTTGGCTATCAGGAGGGGTCAATGTGGCGTATACGCAACGGCCGATAGATTTTCAACGTTTATTTACATGCCTTGTGCAAATACGAAGCAGAGAGGGCGACAAAGAGAGAGGGGAGAGGGGAGAGAGGGAATATTATTTTTGATTTCAATTTTTATTTTTTATATTTTATTTGCTCAACACACACACACAGGCAGGAATATACGGGCGGAGCTATAAAAGGCGTTGCGTGAATAAATCATAAATGCATTGACATGAAATTTCAATCGTTTTGGGGCTTCGTCGCCAGCACTTGAGAGGATATTGCACTTAAATGTGGCCTGCAATCTATTCCACGTATCGTGTTACAAGCATACGTGAGGGGAAATGTTCTTTAATTCGGATCTGTTAGCTTGATGAGAATTCGCTTATTTAGTTTTTGGATTAGCGCGTGACCAATCAATGGCATCCGAAATTTAATAGGATTTAAATGAAGTCTATTTTTGGCAACAAATACTTCCGTATTAGCTACACAAATCCAATCCGGACACTTACCTGCTCGCAGGAGGGCCATGTGCGGCAAAGACGTTTGGCTGTTTCTGTTTAAAGAAAATCTGAATTTCTGCGCTATATCATTAAATATATTAACATATACAATGGCTCACTTGATTTTCAATTATATTTATAATACTATTTCTCTTTTTGTTGTTGTTCTCTGTTTGATTTTCACTTGAAATCGCGCCAAAAAAAAAAACAAAAAATAACTGTATGAAAAGAAAATTCCTGCTGCCGCAGCTGCGACGACCGCTCGCAACGGCTTCGAGTTGGTAAGTGAAGCCGCCGCAAAGCTGAGCGCCAACTCGAAGTGTTCCTCCTGGCTCCTACGGCTTATCCTACAAGTTAGCCAGCAAGCAGTGCTAACTGTTATACGAGGGCTGTTCTAATTGATGCGATAGCAATTAAGTTATACGCACAGTGGCACACAGTCCGAGAGACATGCTAAACATTTTTATTTAAAGGCTTGAGAATGAATCAATATTGAACCTGCTGTGAATTTATGATTGCTTTGAACAGATTAATATAAAAATTGACTCGCAATGACAGCTTTTCTACATGTATTACTTTTGATAGTCGGTATACTAAGTAGTAATGTGTGCCTACATGTTCTTAGTCAAGATCTTAAATGAGATGTATTTATGAAAATCTATGTGAGTGTTATACCATCTGTGTTTTTACTACCCATAATGTAATGCCTACAATATTGTGTATTTTTCTCAACTAAGGTACTTTTGCCTTAATAGCAATTACAGTAGGTCCACTGAAGAGACTCCTTAGCCCAGTCCAAAAGTGTTTCAGTTAATATTAACTCAAGGCCTGAACTCTTTTAATGTATGTATAACAATTATGAGCTCATAAACGACTTGCTCTACAATCAATCACTTTTTCACCCAACTCACGTTTTATTTATTTCAACTGACATCTTGAAAGGTCATTTCAGCGATAATACACAAGTGAACGCACCAGTGTGCGTTGCTTGCTTTTGTATATTGTAACATGATCTTGTTTGAACTTTTGACACACAAATTGTAGGGTAAAAAATTTGAAAAAATGGTAGCTGAACTTAATTGTTGTTTATTGATGTTAATTAAGCACAAAAAGTCTCAGATAACTATTTCAAGGTAATTAAGTGGACGGAACCCCGCAAAGAGAGTATGCACAGATTTTGAAAGGATGTTTTAGTTTTTACGCACCATAAGGCAAGAAGGGGACACATCCAGAAGGGAACGTAATCTGTCCAATGAATTCGCTTAAAAACTGTGGCATATAAATTTCCTTACGCTTTCTCCGTTGGTCGTGGTCGAAAAAGCATATTAAAAGTTGTTTGGAGGAACAAGTACATGAAAACACATTAAAGGCTTGCTGTGTCTAGGCTAAATAGGGTAGGAAATAATTCGGTTAGTACGGATAGATAGTCTGTTAGCGTATATATTATATTTACTAATACATACAGGGTATAAGAAGCTAGCAAAATGCATGATAAATATATTGAAAAATGTTTTAAGCAGCACTCGTTGAGGTTCGTAAAGATGTCAAGTGCTGTGCACTGCTTTCGAAACTGCTTGCTGCGCAGCCGAAACGAAAAGCAGGCACCCTCTCAAGCAGCGCATGTCATAAAGCAGTCGAAAGCAGTGCACGCCCACATAAATTGAATAAATGCATTGCATAAAAACTGCATAAAATTAATTAATTCAGAGTACTTAATTAACATAGTGAGTGGTACTAGGTACAAAGAACAAGGCGCTATCCAGAGCATATGCTAGGCTGCGTTCAATCAGCGGCGACGCTGGCGCCAACCTTTACAGCTCGAAGCGCAGGTCAGGCACGTAAGCGTCGAGATGATAAGACGCCGCTGTCGCTGCCGCCGTCTGCTGCGTCTGCTGCTGCAGCTGTAAGAGATTTGAGGCTGAGCAGCAGCAGTTGTGCGTCTCGCAGTTGGTAGGTATAAAAAAGCGAATGCAGGGCCAGTTAAGCATATCAGTGGCAACTACACCTTCGACATGTGGGCACAACTCAGTACAATTGCAATGACATTAGGCCTGCTCGGCCTAGTCGCGGCACAGCGCTACTTGGAGCAGTATCCAGAGCCGCAAGGACGTGGCAGAGTGGACCACACCGCCTGCGGTCGCCCAGTGTGCGCCACCAATGGCTATTGCTATCGCTCATTCCAGAACATTTGCTGCATGAACACCTTCAATTTGCAACTGCTCTTCGCTGGACAAAGGGGTAAGTAAGGGGTTATTCAACTAGCATGCTCTTCATCCTTGACCCTGCATCATTTCAGAATATGTGGAAGCTGACATGCAGCACTGTTTGCCAAAGCCAACTTGGTTCGACTACAACACACCCTACAGAGCTCGTCCGCTAGCCTCATCCTCCCTCTACGCCTATGCAGCCGCCTATGAGTCGCCCTCTTCATACGAGCTTGGTGCTGCACAGGCGACTGGCTCTCTGGCACCATACCGTTCAGAGCCATATAATCCCTATCGCTTCTACAAATCACAAGCACAGGACATCTATTCCCCGGCGAACGGGTATGGGGATAGAGCTGACTATGCTAGCACGTGGGATCGTTACAGTGGAATGCAGGAATACTTTACTCAGCAGCCTGCACCTACAACATTTACTACAACAGAGTCCACAACAATAGCACCCACATCCAGTTCAACAGCTGCAGTCACAGTAGAATCCACTACGCCAACGACAACAGTTGAAACAACAGCAACCACAGCAACCACAGCATTCTCTGCGGCAGTAAACACACAATCCCCAGTACCAACTACACCGACATTCACATTAGACTCAAACATGGCAGTTACAACAGAATCCACTTTACCATCCACAACGAATGCTATAGCAATTACGAGCACGACACCTTCAACGCAGTCCACACAGATCACAACTGAGAATTCGACAACAGTCTCAAGCACAACAGCAACCACACCATTTATTTCATCTTCAAGTTCAACAACTATAACACCATCCACACAAGAGCCTGCTTTAGTAGGGGTGTTGAGTACAGCAGTTAAGGAAGAATCAATACAACCATTGTCAACAAATTCCACTGGAGAGTTGAATTCTGCAGGTATAACACAGTCCACAACAAATCGTACCACAACAAATATACAATCTCCATCAAGAAACTTAATAGCACAGCCAAGCACAGATGCGCCTACAACACAATCCACACTACCATCCAGAACAGCACAAGAAACCACACGATCCACACAGCTGCCCACAACTGCCAACTCCACGACACAGCCCACCACTAAACCCACCACAATACTATCCACAATTTCATCTACTATAGCATCTAACACAACAACAGTATCAACAACACAAGCAATCATATCAACCGCAGCGAACTCTACATCCACAACAACGGAGTCCACTCCATCTGCAACAACGACTACCCCACCACAGCCAACTACGGCAGCATTTACAGCATCATCCACAACAGCATCAACAGCAGCTGCTGAAATAGAAGCAACACCTTTTACGACAGCCTCAACAATAAACTCTACAGCACAGTCGAGTGCTCCCATAGCCCCAATAGCAGCCGCAGCGTTGATAATAGGATCTACAATGGAATCCACCACAACATCTACAACGCAAGAGTCATCGTCTTTTTCAGCAACGAACTCCACTGCAGAGTCGAGCACGCCCACATCCACAGCAGCATCCACAACACCGTCCACAGCAGCATCCACAGCAGCATCCACAACAGCGTCCACAGCAGCATCCACAGCAGCATCCACAACAGCGTCCACAGCAGCATCCACAGCAGCATCCACACCAAATTTGACAACAGCATCACCATTAGCAATCACAACGGCACCCACATTAAATGCTTCTATTGTAACACCTCAATCCAGGCTTGCCTTTAGAGATAACTCAGGACAGTTGAGTACAGCAGCATCCACAACAGCATCCACAATAGCACCCACGACAGCATCCACAACAGCATCCACTCCAGCGTCTACAGTAGCAACAACACAATTGGCAGCAAACTCCACAGCAGAGCCGAGCAGAGCAAAAGCTCCCACAACAGAATCCACAACAGAATCCACAACAGCATCCACAGACGCCAGCAACGACATGAATGCCGTGAGTATTCTGAGAGTGTAATATTACAACAATTTGCACGCGTAATATAACCTTTAGCATTCTACACTCGACTATCTATTTTCAATTTTTTTCCCCCGAACAGAACACTCTGGTCTCTCTGGTCTTTAGAGTGCCCGACAGCAGAGTCTTCAGACTGGCACTGGCCTCGCAGATAACCCATCCAATAACTGGGCGTAAGACATGCGCCGATGCGACCAATTTGGAGCTGAAAGTTAAGGGCATATCGGAAACGCTCAAGTTTACTGGATGCCTCTTCAATAACTCAGCCCGCTCTGAATCGAATGACGGCACCACGACAAGCCCAACGCCAAATAGCAGCACACATAAATCGGTTAACTATAAGCCTTATGGTTACCTATATGGCTTTGCCTATGGCCACGGTTATGGATCCGCTTATGGACCCGGCCACGGATCCGGTTATGGACCCGGCTACGGATCCGGTTATGGACCCGGCTATGCCAGCGGCTCCGCTTCGGCGCCTAAGCCCCACAGCTGGACTCAATATTATCATCGGCCCTAATTTTACTGTACGACCTACCTCAATAGTTCTCTACTACTTATATTGTAAAATAATCAATAAGACTTTTTTTATTCGTATTCGTATACCTTGCATATCTATAGAGCTATTCGCCATAAAGGTAAATAAATTTTGATACCCAAGCGATTGCTGTGCGGCAACGTGACATTTAATACCAAAAGTATTCCAAAATGTTTAGCTTTCAGCTTTAGTAATACTCGTAGTATTTCAATAATTGATGACTCGCCCGCTTATTGCGTAGTTTCGTGGCTGAGGTGGGTCTTAAACGATTTGCCTTGCTCATCATAAAATCATTTTCCTATACATTGAGTAATACGCCAACGAAATGCTATTGTATACCTTCATATATATATATATTTTTTGCAAATTATTTCAAGCTTACTGGTGACCTTGACAATTGTCTATAATATCGTTATACGCTGCGTGCTAGTCCGATTAATCACTAACATTGCCATATTTTCATAGCTCGTAACGTTTTGAAAACAAGAATTTTAATTCACAAAATTTCCCATGGCGCAAAGTTTACGTATAACACGAATAACACAGATATGAGTGTAGCTCAAAAACTTTCATAAGCTGAAAAGAAAAATACTAAAAAACACAAAAAACTTAGTGCTAACCGTCTAGCTTTAACCTAGAAGCGTTGATATAATTAATTACCGAAATGGAGCTCTGGACACGTAGACATTGCAATGATATGAGGGCATATGCCACAAGCCCATTGGAGGTCGTCGTATAAAAAGCGCAGCCTGTGCGAGGTTAGACCATAGTCGAGCTTAGGATTCTACACAAAATGCTCGCGTTCCATTTGTTCCTCTTCAGTTTGTTTACGGTCGCCTGGACCTGGGGCTATGGCGAACCCAAATATTATGCCTCGACGTGCGACTATATCAATTGTCCGGCCGCCAAAGACGAAGTCTGTGCCAAGACCCAGGGCTCACACCAGCCTGCGACCTTTGATAACGCCTGCGAGGTTCAGCGCTATAGCTGCCTGACGGGTCAATGTATGTGAATGATCCCGGATCCGAGATCCGAGTAAACGGTTTCTATAATACTTAAAACTCCTCATTGACAGATTGGCACATACTCTACGAGGGACCTTGCGAGTGCCCAGTCAAATGCCCACTCACGTGTAATCCCATCTGTGCCGCGCTGGGGAGTACGCAGAAAACCTTCCAAAATTACTGTGAAATGTTGCAGTTCATTTGCCATACAGGAGAACGTAAGTACTGCATATAACTCTTTCCATATTTTTCTCTTTATCACTGACTTTCTTTACCTCATACTTTCTACCCTTTTATCGATTCTTTTAGCCTGGAAATACCTGCGCAATGGAGAGTGCCTAGAGGTAGAATCCCAATACTCGGCGTATTCAGGACCATTCATTTCTCGTGAATCGTATCCTGCGTATGGGCCCCATCTTTATGGACAACATGCGTATAGGCCACCCGCGTATGGACCTCAGGTTTATGGACCTGCTGCCTATCAAGCCCCAGCCTATGGTCCCCCAATGGCATATCCCAGACCCTACCAATCCCCACCACATCCGTATGCGGCATCGCAGCTGCAGCCATATCATCTATCAATCTCAAGGGACGCTTTGCCCACTGAGTCAACGGATGCATTTGGCACAATAACCAACACAGTTCCTAAAAGATCTACAAGTTCTCCTTATACTGAAGCACCCACGTCGACTGAATCATCGACAGCAGCTCCAACCGATTCAACAGTAGCGGCTAATGCGCCACAATTGGTTGCACAAAGCTTAATCAAAGATACAAAATCTGAATCAGATTCTCTTCCACAAGATCCATTGGCTACCGCTGAGAACACAACTGCTGTACCTTCAAAGTCCGTTTACGTAACAGAAGCTACCGTCAGTTCTACTTCGTATTCCAGTTCTGATTCGTACTCGGATTCGACTTCAGAATCTACTTCGGAAACGACAACTGTTTCAAATGATTCAAGAAGGGTTCAAAGTAAGGCGGTAGCAGCAAATCGGATACAAAACACTGCGGAAAACAACACAACTTCTGCGGAAATCTCTTCAAATGCTACATCGGCGACGACACCTGTAGCAGATAATCTAACATCTTCCTCGAGTGCCCCACCAAAAGATATATACAGCTCTTATACTACAACAGCCTCGTACTCAAGCCCTGTTATATCTGATACAGCATCAGCTAGGAAGGCTGTGGAGCTCAAAGTAGATAGTTATACGCCTACTGCGGCTGCTTCCTCATATACCACTCCAAATAATACAACTCAACTGCCATTGGAAACTACAATAGTTTCTGATTCCACAACAGAAGTTTCCGTCGGTTCGACCCCGGACTCGACCTCAACTGAAGCATCAACATTGAGCAATGCACCACAATTTAGAGCTCAAAGCTTAAGCAAAGCTGCAGCTGTAAATCAAACACAAACTACTCTAGTTGATAATACAACTACGACGGAAAGCCTATTAAACGATACATCAGAGACTACAGCCATAAGTCCTAATTCCACAACGGAAGCTCCTGTGAGTTCTGCCAGTGATTCCACTGCGGTTGAGTCATCGTACCCAAAAACAGTTCCATCATATGGAACAACTAAACAGTCCCAAGTTGAAAACTTGTACTTATCTACTTCAAATACTTTACCGAAATACGCATCGGAATCGACAGGCTATCCTCAGGAAACTTCCTCTGAACCTCCTGTGAGTTCGACCTCCGCCTCGACACCAGCTTCGACATCGCCAAGCAATCAGCCACAAGTGAGAGTTCAAAGCTTAAGTAGAGCTGCAGCTGTTAATCAGACTCAAACTACTCTAGTTAATAATACAACTACGCCGGCAAGCCTATTAAACGATACATCAGAGACTACAGCCAGTTCTGCCAGTGATTCCACTGCGGTTGAGTCATCGTACCCAACAACAGTTCCATTATATGGAACGAGTTCACAGGCCCAAGTTAAAAGCTTGTACAAGACTACCGTAAATCAGACTCGAGATGCCCCAGTTGATAATACATATTCTTCGGATACATATCCAAAAGAGACAACAGAAGTAACACCTAAGACTTATGGTTATGATTCCACAACAGAAGCTGCTTTGCTGTCGACTTCAAGTTCTTCTGCTGCGACAACTGATCCACCTAGTTTAACATTATCTAGAAAACTTGCAGCTAGAACCCAGACTCAAGATGCCACACTTAATAATGCAACGGAAATAACACCTTTGAATTCGAATGCCACAGCAGAAGCTTCCGTAAGTTCGACCTCTGCTTCCAATTTGTATCCGTTATCGTACTCCAGCTCGGAGTCGACGACAGTTTCATCCGATCCAACAACTGAAAGCACTGCTCCACTTCCACAATCACGAAGTCTGCAAAGAGCTGCAGCGGTTGATCAGTCTCAAGGGCCACCAGATAATTATACATCTTCCTCAAATACTTTACCGAAATATGCAGCGGAATCGACAGGCTATCCTCAGGAAACATCCTCTGAACCTCCTGTGAGTTCGACCTCCGCCTCGACACCAGCTTCGACATCGCCAAGCAATCAGCCACAAGTGAGAGTTCAAAGCTTAAGTAGAGCTGCAGCAGTAAATCAAACACAAACTACTCTAGTTAATAATACGACTACGACGGAAAGCCTATTAAACGATACATCAGAGACTACAGCCATAAGTCCTAATTCCACAACGGAAGCTCCTGTGAGTTCTGCCAGTGATTCCACTGCGGTTGAGTCATCGTACCCAAAAACAGTTCCATCATATGGAACAACTAAACAGTCCCAAGTTGAAAACTTGTACTTATCTACCTCTAATACTTTACCGAAATACGCATCGGAATCGACAGGCTATCCTCAGGAAACTTCCTCTGAACCTCCCGTGAGTTCGACCTCCGCCTCGACACCTGCTTCGACATCGCCAAGCAATCAGCCACAAGTGAGAGTTCAAAGCTTAAGTAGAGCTGCAGCTGTTAATCAGACTCAAACTACTCTAGTTAATAATACGACTACGACGGAAAGCCTATTAAACGATACATCAGAGACTACAGCCATAAGTCCTAATTCCACAACGGAAGCTCCTGTGAGTTCTGCCAGTGATTCCACTGCGGTTGAGTCATCGTACCCAAAAACAGTTCCATCATATGGAACAACTAAACAGTCCCAAGTTGAAAACTTGTACTTATCTACCTCAAATACTTTACCGAAATACGCATCGGAATCGACAGGCTATCCTCAGGAAACTTCCTCTGAACCTCCTGTGAGTTCGACCTCCGCCTCGACACCAGCTTCGACATCGCCAAGCAATCAGCCACAAGTGAGAGTTCAAAGCTTAAGTAGAGCTGCAGCTGTTAATCAGACTCAAATTGCTCCTGTTAACAATACGACTCTTTCGAATACCACACCTAAAGAGACAACGAAAGCAATTGAATCCACAACTGAAGCTCTTGTCAGTTCGAGCTCGGATTCCACAACGGAATCGAGCTCAGATTTAACTACAGTTCCAACATATTCATCATCAACAAGTGATGCGCCAGCCATAGATAATACTCAAGGTGCTTCAGATAAAAATACAACCTTAGTGGAGTTACCTAACAGAGAGAGTACGAATGGAACCCAGTTGATTGTGCAAGTGTCTGAAAAGGATGACGTTCAGACCGTTAAGATCAATAATCAAAATACCAATCCAAGTCCGACATACGTGTTCATATTCCTGTCCAAGTCCTCGGCACAAAAAGTGGATGTATTAAAGAACTGAAAATTATAAATAAGTATGCAAAACAATGCCAGACAAAAATAACTAATCCCAATTCCATTATAAGACTTAAACTGTTGCCAATTTAAAATTTTAATAAATATATATATATATGATTAAGTTAATTGTTTTCTATATGCACATAAAATGCTGTTTCAGCTTTTCTAGCTATAATTCGAATCCATTTATAACTTATGGCTGATGTTAAATTGGCTTGCAGCCACAAAAAAAAAACAGTGGATAGAACCAGCGCCCTGCATTAATGTTGTGCTTTGCTGAAAATATGGTTGGGTTTTACTGTGTTTTGCCAACTTCCTTGGCTTAAAGCTTGGTATATTGGAATTCAGAGTTTCTTCCTGGATTCCTTTCTTAACTAATCTTTAGATATTACCTAAACTGACATTTGTAGCGCCTTAATAGGATACAAATCCATACAACATCAAACCCAAAAATGTTTTCTTGCTCTTTTTATCATATCGAAGTCAGAATTGTCCGAGGAAGATTTATTTGTAAGCTGGCTTCAGGCATCGTTGTTAGTACGGATTTGTCTTGATATGCCTAATCTCTTTTTCTTTTGCACATGATATGATTTTTCGCTGAATTCCCATAATATATTCGTTAATAAGTGAACTTTGGATTGGTGTCAAAGCGAATTTTATTTAATTTTTAAGTACATTTGGTTTTGGATGCGGTTTCGGTATTTCAGGTTTTGGGCTGGTCGCAGCCTTCGCTTTGAAGCCCGTCGCATTGCGAGCCACATCGGGTATGCCCAATTTGAGCCCCTTAGTGGTGCTGGCGGTGCTGGCGGTGCGGCCAACGGGCCACCGGGCAGCGATGGAATCCGCGATGGTGGCCGTGGTGCTGGCGACCTCTGGAGCCTCGCTGATGCTGCCTGAACTAACTGTGGTTGTGGAGGTGGTGCCGTAGGGCACATAAAAGAATTTAAATTCTTCTCTAGGTGCGGTGCGCGTTTTGGCCGTCTCTGTAGTGCTCGGTCTGGCTGTGGTGCTCGTTGTGCTTTGTGGCTCAGGTGTGATTGTAGTGGTTCTTGTGCTGGTGGTGCTGGGCGGGGTATCGGTAATGGTGCCCACACCCGGCACATACAGCGACAGACTAGAGTCCCTGATGGCGTCATAGTTGAGGCCCACATCGGGTATATTGTAGACGCTATAAGCATGGACGGCACGCGAGACGGAAACGTGGGGATTGCCGAGGTTCATGTATCGATGGAACTGCATGGGCGCCGGCGTTGTGGTTGAGGTGGTGCTCTTAGTGGTTGTGCTGGTGGTTCTGCTACGCTTATTGGCCAGCCTCACGTAGATGTGCCTCCTGTTGGAGGGCGTGGCTGCTGTTGTTGCTGTTGTTGCTGTTGCTGCTGCTGTTGTGGTTGTTGTTGTGGTGCGTCGCCTGCCATGCTTGCGCTTGCCTTTGCCCTTGCTGGCTGGCCTGGACTTGAGCCTGGCATCTCGACAGGGTCCTTTCCTCAGGATGCGCATGGCTGGAATTGTGTTTAAATAAAATTAGCGGGCGTCATAATATTACTACAACAATTCGAGTGTACATACTTTGCTTGGTGAGGCAACCGCGTCGATGCGCCTCACACTCGTTGGCAAAGGTCACGCCCCGATCCTGCTTGGCTCCTGGCTCACCCACCGCACAGACGGGCGCGTATGTCTTATTGCAGATTATGTTGTCGCATTGGGGCAGACAGCGCTCCAGCTCGGTGGGCTCCAGCTCTGATTGAGGCATAGACTCTCATTAGCAGTGGCTCGCATGGAAGCGTGCTGCCAACTTACCCGTGCTGTATTGGAAGAGCAGCTTCATGTTGGCCGCCTCCAGCTTGCAGTTGTTCTCAAAGTAAAAGTAGCTGGTGCCATTTGTGGCACACACTGGCGGCCCGCCCGTTCCGCACTTTGGCTGATAGTCCACATACTGATACTGAAAGGGTTCCAGCTGATCGTGGCCCCGACTCTGCCCATGGGCATGCCTAAAGAACTTGTCATACTGCGCCTTCGCATATTGCTCATCGTTGTACTGCCAGGCGGCGTTGGCTGATCCCACAACTGCCAGGCTTATCAGCTGACTCCAGATCAGAAGCTGGTCCATCCTCACCGTCCATTTGAGATCTAGCCGTTGCATCGTCTCCAATTCTTAGCTGGTCACTGATCTCTGCCGCAGCCTCGGTGCGCTTTATACCGGCCCACTGGGCAAGCATCTGGACTTATCGCCGATTTGCGCACCCCCACGACGTGTCGATATGCGGTGTTCGCATCGATGCAATCGGTCGCTGGGCAAAAGCATTTTTGCCAAGATTGCCGGTGAGCGGGTTAACGAACGCAACACTTGGCCAAGATAATGCCGGCTCGTATCTACATTCATAGGACGGACAGACAGTCAACTGTGACAATATGTACTAAGTCCAAGCTACATTAAGCCTGAAAGGCGTATGAGAGCGAGCCAACAGCTGGCTGTGAGCATGCTGAAGATCGAAGTATATATAAGTATTGGCAGGTCTATTAATTCCTTGTACAAGCTACGTAACTCTTTACTTAAAAATTTCAATAAATTTATTTGGATGCACTTCCTGTTCGCACGATAAATCCATAGGAATGTATGTTCTTTATCTAGTTTGGTACATTTTGTGATAGACCTTGGTACAAAACCATTTAAAGCTTTTCTGATTGAAAGCTTAGCTTTTTAAAGTTTGCAAGTTTGGTGGCCATGCTAAGTGGGCTTTTTGGTAAGCTCGTCGAGCTTTTTAGTGGTGAAAAGCTTTCATCTTGTGCCATAAATTTATTTAAGAATGCCATAAATTTTCAAATTATAGAAAATATTATATAATTCATGCTAAATTTAGTTTAAATTTAAGAAGTTTTATTCGCTGCGAAGTTTAAGGTTCTTAATCCCTTCAGCAAAGTGTGGATGCAGTTCCTCGGGATTGGCTAAGAAATGCGAAATGTAGCACAAATTGTATGCTAATATAATAAAACAATGTCAGTTCATTTTCAATCGGCATTTATTTTTGTAGCACTTAGTTATGTCAATGTTTTCAATTCCGTTCGAGCGCAAACTGCGCGAATTTTCAGTACAGGGGAGGGGTGAGGGGGCGGGATTGGGGGTCACGCTAGCTGCGGCCCCTAGCAAAGGTGGATTTTGATTGTGGGGGAGGGGGGTTATAGGTTAGAGGGTTTCGTGGTACCGCTCGGAACTGTGGGTGAAAAAAAATGTATGCATGAATTGTGGGAAAATGTGATCTCTAATTACAATCAAAACTTACCGGAATTCCATATAAGCTTACATAATGAACTGTCGTGAAAAGTTCATCGATATGGCAATGTTGCTTCCTTCTTATAGTTTCATTATCAAACAGATCCACTCGATATTTCATATACGCATATACATGCAAATCACGTATATATATATAATGTCGTTCCTTAAATATAGTGTATAATTATATTCATATTTATTGCAGAATATCTACATATACAGCACGGTCATGTTCGACGCAAACTGCGCGCCCCCAAAGCGGCCTCAAGCTGGGGGCGTGGTACCGTCGTGCTAGATACAATATATATATAAGTATAATTATTAATCGGGCGATATTATGTACATTGGCAGAGGGGAAACTTACTACTACTCTTATCTGTGAGAGATAAGAAATGTATGGTAAAATGTAAATTTCCATTAGCATACAGAAACTATAAGTAAATCCATTCAATAAATCAGATTAGTTTTAATTGAGAGAGAGCCGTCAGTCGGCTACTCACAAATTATTTTTGTTATCTGCGGCAACTGTCTCCGCATACATCCTTACATCTAGTAACTCATCGATAATAAGCATCAGTATTAGTTGGTGGATCTGTTTTGATAAGATTCAAACAGGCAACCAGAACACGGCCAGCAATCAGTTGATCTATTTATTAGCAATAGGTGTGTGAAATAATTATTTTGTATATATTCATTTATCTTTATCGGTTCCAATTTCACACATAAAACTCATTATATTTGATTCCTATTTGAATGTGCTTCTTTTACTCCCATTTTTGTACGTATTTATTGTGTGTGTACTGAGTACTGTTCCTATTTCTATCGTTTTCATATTTATCTGCTTCGATATTTATATCGATTATTGTTCCTTATTTTTTATAGGTTTTCAAAACTCTCCTCTTCCCGTTTTCACACGTTTCGATTTTCCCTTTATGCCTTCTCGCTTATGTTCAAATTTTTCTAAGTTCATATGTCTAGTTGTAGCTACTTCCATGCATATTCCTAAACTCTGTTCTTTTATTTTATGCCCCCTATTTTTTCCATTCTATCGACCCATTTAGCTCAAGATGGTGTTTGGACTTACCTGGCGTGTTCCATCATTATAGTCAGTGAAGTATTGGATTATTGGTAAGTCTTGGTTGTTCCATTGTTGAGGCTAAGTCGTTCAATGGGATACGCTCCGCACAGCTTGAGGTATGTTGTTTTTATCGTGTGTGTGTGTTTTTTTTTAATCTACATCTAGGTGCAGATAAACACTTGCAGAACTTTTGTACGTCCAGTTTTAAAATTTTTCGTCCCTTTATGCACAATTAAACACAAATATCAATCAAGCAAACTCAATTTCTTTGAGTTACAATTTACAACATATTTCACGCTTTTCAATTTCGCTATTTGCCAAAAAAAACACAAATTTTGAAAACCTGAAAGGATTGCGAAAATAATATTATGTTAATTTTTACACTTTTCAATTTTTAGCCGAAAAAAGAGTTGTTTTCCAGATGAGCTCTGGGAGTAAACTGAAATATTTTCATAAGAGCGCCGGCTCCCTGGGGTAGAAAGTCGAAGGCAACGCCTACTAGATCTAACAAGAAAAGCAACCGAGTATAATGGATGTGAAATTTGAAGCAACGCACCTCTGATTATCTATACTCGCAATATCTAGTAAGATTTTGGACTTGATAAGAATAAGGCGTGAATAAGCCGCAAAGAACTGGAACTAAACTAATTTCCATAGCTAATTGCTCTTTGGGAAACTGAAATGTTTTCCCCTATATCGCGCAAGAACTTTTGGTCATACTCCGACGACAGTCGATTATCTCATGGCCAGCTAATAATTGAGTTCTAATCGCTCTCCGTAGAGCCGAGCCAAATTCGTCTGGCAATCCGCCCGAATATTGTCCTTCACTTGCCGCACATCGTAATCTCATGTGTGCCCGATGCAGAAAACTCCCCCAAGAAGTAAGAAATTGTGTTGGCGGCATCTCATCAGCTCATCAAGATGTTAACAACCCGCCCAAAAGAAAATAAATAAAAAAAAACCCATCGATCATCATTGCCAACCAACTCCCACCCCCCGCAAGCCCCCTGCCTAACCGCTCGTTTGCGCCCATATATTGTATGAATTATTTAAATATTGATTTATTAGTTGAAATTTTTCATCTAATTTAATAGGGTGAACGGCTCAGTGGCTGTGCTGAAGGAAAGCAAAGAGCATGGGGAGGGGGTGGGGGGGGGGGGATGCACGGGGCATGGTAAGGTAGATGCTTCAGTTTGCAATAAATTTATGAGGGTAGGGTAGGGGGAGAGCGGTGTGGGCAGTTGGCATATGCTGCCATATTCGACGTGTGTGGAAAGGCATAAATGGAAAATTGAAAATTAAATGTGGGCAAAGCTGCTGAGATGCCTTTGACAAGAGGCTGAAACATGGCCGCAGATTGTTGTAAGCTGTTGTTGCAAGTTTTGTTTCTGTTGTCTCTGGTATCGTTGTTGTTGTTGTTGTTGTTGTTGTTATTGTTGTTATAGTTTCTGTTCTTGTCTGGCTAAATGAAAACTCGTTTATTAATCTGCTAGTGCGTGTGTCGGTGTGTGTGCGTGTGTGTGCGTATGTGTGTGTGTGTGTGTGTGTGTGTGTGTGTGTGTGTGTGTGTGTGTGTGTGTGTGTGTCGATGTGTGTTATACTCTAGCAAAGCACAGCCGCCTTTTAGCACCAGCCAACGCACGCTTCAAACGCGCACCGCACACACACACACACACACACACACACACACACACACACACACACACACACACACTCACACACATATATACACACATAGACATGTGTGCGTATGCAAAGTTTATCCAGCGTCCGCCTCTGCACATTAATTTACTGACCTTTTTGTGCCTTTCGCATAGTTTTCCAACTGCGTCCCAAACACACGACCACCTAGATACACACACACACACACACGCCTGGACACACTCCAGCACACCGATTTACCACCGGCTACCTAGTGGACACTGCCAACAGACTTCACCACATGACCGCCACAGACTTGGGCAACGCACAGCTCGGCCGTGTCCGAGACCGTGTCCGTGTCCGTTTCTCCAGTTTGGGCTTAACAAAATGCGGTTAACAGTGGGCGGAAGCGAGAGCGACAACGTGAAGGGTATGAAATACTTGCCCAAGGCAGGCGTGAGTGCGCAGTGGACAGTAGGCAGTTGGCTGGGGGCAGGGGGCGTGTTTGGGTTGGGCCGGCAGCTTAGGGGTTGGGGTCTGTTATTGTCCATCGCAACACATTAAAACGTATGATGAATGTGTGACACTTTTGCATTTTGTTTGTTTATTTATTTTTTGTGCTTTCTATTTTAACTTTGCTGTCGTCCTGCATCATCAAACACACACACGCAAGGAGACAGACACAGCTACCCAATAAAGCAATAAAATCCCACTAAAAAAAAGCTCCATACATACTGATGCTCTTACATATACTCTTTAGCCAAAGCACATCGATCTCTTAACATATCTATATATATATATATATATATATATATATATGCATTATCTTCAAATTGAAACCAAACTTTGTCCCTGTCTTAAAGAACAAAGTATATAAAGCTAAAGAAAACTCCAGCTATTGATGACCATTCGGTGGGAAAACTTTTCCAATCTCAACTGAATTTAATTAATTGATTGTAATGAAAAACTCTTTGACTAGTGAGTAAATTGTTATTATTTTCAGCTGAACTATTCTGAAATAATGTTATTATTGGATTTCTTTTTTCTGCACTCAACATCCAATTGGACCTAAGTAGGGCTTGTAGGGCATAATGCAGTTTGTGTTTAATAAGCAATCGGTTTTAAATATCTATATATGTATATATATATATATATATATGTGCAGTTACTGAGAAAGAGCAATGTCACAACCATTTCCGTGGAAACGAATTAAACTACAACATTTCCATTGAAACCCATTTCAATTGCTGCTAACGAAGAGCAAACAAATTGCTGTGATTTTAAGCTGTCGCAAAGTTTTTGTTTAGTTTATAATTTGGCATTCTGGGAAGTGAACAAGAGAGACATTTTAAATAGAATGCACTTGCCGCTTTAATATAAAATGTACTACCCAAACAAGCAATACGTATTTTATAAAGGTGCATAATCTGTGCGCGTTTTTGCATAATATTATGGCAGACAAAACAATAACCGGCGTGAAAATGTGGCTGCCAGACAAAATGGGCACAAGTTCAATTTCGTAGCCGATGGCCAAGCTCTTCACAGAGTAGGAAACTTAAAAACTACAAAAACTCGAGCATAGGGATGACAAAAAAATTAAAATAATAGTAATAGTAATCTTAACAATAATATTTATAAGAAGAATAATGATATAAATAATATTAATAATAATAAAAATAACAAAAGTAATAATAATAATAATAATAATATTAATAATAATAATAATAATAATAATAATAATAATAATAATAATAATAATAATAATAATAATAATAATAATAATAATAATAATAATAATAATAATAATAATAATAATAATAATAATAATAATAATAATAATAATAATAATAATAATAATAATAATAATAATAATAATAATAATAATAATAATAATAATAATAATAATAATAATAATAATAATAATAATAATAATAATAATAATAATAATAATAATAATAATAATAATAATAGTAATATTAATATAATAATAATTATAATAATAATAATATAATTCTAATAATATTAATAAGATTCATAATATTAATAAAAATGTTAATAATCACTTTTGTATATTATAAAAATATTTAATATTAATATTAATTAATATATAGTATATAGTATATATAGTATAATTAATTACAATATTCTTATAGTTTAAATTAATATTTATTTTCTATTTTGAATAGGTTGCAAAAACAAGAAATAAAGCTCACTGCGCATCTTGGTCTATTACAATTCAAAATAAATTGTGCAACGATAAACAAATGGTTTATCGTAATGCTCTCTATAATACCGTTTATTCTACGCTATTCAAATAAACTTGTTTAATCTGTGGTTTATCTGCAACGAGTCTTAGGCACAATAAAATGTTACTTTTGATAGACGTTCTGTGCCATAAGAAATTTGAAGTGCATACACCTTATTCAGTATATATTACACACTAATTCATTTTTCCCAAATGAAATATTAACTGTAGTTTATTTTTAATTAGAAATCTCCTGCGGTGTGCTTTGAGTGTGGCACAAACAATGCGGCATGCCACATGGAGAAGCTTGTAAAACACTCACTTATTTCGTAAACTGAAAAGCTGAAAACAATATTTGCCAGCTTTAAGCACTCGGGCTCCACAGCTATGGTACGTGCCTTTTTGCGCAATAGTTTTATAAATTCTATTTATCGTTCCGCACATACACACACACACACACACACACAGAGACCCACGAGAGCCACATATGCAGATTACTCTGAAAGGTGGGTGCAAGGGGTGCGAGCGAGGTTGTGCTAAGGTCCAAATTGTTTTAAACTTTTCACAGCTCTGACAGTTGACGCTAACCCGTTGGGCTGTTGAGCCACAGTATTGCTACAGATGCAGCAGCCAGACTCAAGATAAAAGATAATAGATAAAAGATACTGTTATGTTTGAAGGACTTTATTGACTGACAGCTGCAAAGCAACTGCCGCAGCGTGCCTTGAGAATTACGAAAGGGCTAAGTAGGCTGGATCCTCTATTTGGGCAGTACTCAGTAGTGTTTCAGATTCAGTAAACCCCTCTCCTCCCATCAACCACCATTTGCAAGTATAGCTCTCGATCAAGGCTCGCAATTCGACATGGACAAGCAGTGCAAAATGGCGGAGCACGTTAAGCACGGTAAGCACGGTAAGCACGGCAAGCACGGCAAGCACGGCTGTGCATCAATGAGCACTGCTTGCAGCATAACCTCACTTTCAATCACAGTTCCAGAGTTGCCGCTGCTGTTTCGAATTGAGAACTTCTTCAATATGATCTACGCATACATTCTGGGCAATTCCAAAGACTGCTGGACAGCAATACCGGCGCCCGACGGCATCATGCGCTGGTGCAGCGCCAGGGGCATCCACCAGTGGTGGTGTCTATACCCAGCAGAGCGGCCAGATCCGAGGCCAGTTCCGTTTCAAGTTTTAGCATTGGAACGCGTGTCGCAGAGTATGCTTAATGGGCATTTTAATGTTGTAAATTCACAATTATAAATTCTTAATTCTAAATTCTCAATTCCTGACTAAGAAACGTTGCTGGAATTGATGCGTTCGTTAAGTCCCCCAATCCCCCCACCGGCAATCATGGCGTTAGTCATGACACTTGTAGCTGGTGTTGTTGTGATCGCCTTCCATCATCATGGAATCGTCTTCGTGATACTCATCGACTTGACATTCCTCGGCTACGTCCATTGTGTTGAGGTCGTCGCATTCGTCGGTAATCTCCATTATCTCGATTGTTGTCTCAGCCTGCCCTTGAGAGAGGGGATCCACTATGTCCAGATCGGCCGGCGGCATGGTAACAGTCGGCACATTCGAGTCCATGTCCTCATCGGCCTGCACCTGTTCCTCCAGCGACTGCATCAGCATCATCATGAGCAGCGGCTTGCTCTGCGACAATCTGAAGATCTTTGGGTCCGTGTCGGCAACCATTATTTCAAAGATTCTTTTTGGCGAATTCGCTTCTGAATAAAACACTTGTAAATATATATATATATATATTTATATATATATATATTTATATATAAAAATATATATATATATGAATATAGTGGATATATGTATATATAGTTATATATAACCGTTTCACACAACTCGTCGCGGTTTTTTACACACTCGTGCTCTTGAGAACCGAATATTTATATATATATTGTTGTTCAATAAATACTTCTACATATACACACACTAAAATTTGACAAAAACTGCCTTGAGCTTAGCTATAGCAAACGTCTTAACACCTTTTGACAGCTGATAAAAATGTAACTCGAATCTCATTTTGCTAACTGGACGCACATCCCAGGCTTCTTAAGGATATCCGGAAGAGCTCCGAGCTCCGGAAGAACATTCAGGATTGTATCATTTAGCTCAATGCTCACAATTATTTCTCTCTATCATTCCCACTACTCTTTTTTTGTCTTGAACCTATATTCTGTTTAAAACATTGGGTATATTTACTAAATTTGAATAAGCTAATTATATTTGTCATGAGTTGAATTTTCATATTAAAGATGCGGGCTAGATTGAGTCTCTACCCGAAATTGGCATCTACAATAGATGATTAGAAATGTGCAACAATAGGGGCCAAAGTTAATTATACTTTAAGTATATGTATACATCGTATATGTAGCTCCAATAGGTATGATCGATTGCAAATATAGCTAATTTGTATTATTATTTGATTATGTCGTTTTATAGCGACATAACATAGCTCCGCCGATAATCATGGCGAGATTGTTTCGTATTTTAGCGACATAACTCCTCCGCTTTACATGCTACATATCTCCACAGGTGTACGTTTACATATACACATGCATATGTATGTATGTATGTGTGTATGTGCATGTGACTACACTCTCAGTTAGTGTGCTTTCATTTGAACTGTATAGCTGCTGGTTCGGTGGCAAAGCATCGCGTAGTCGAGTTCTCTTAACCGCAGCCTTATCACTTATTTTGAGCTCCTTTGCAACTGTTGAATTTAACCGAAGTAAAAGAAGAATTTTTAAAATTTATTATATATTTTATTAATAAACCCATTTTTATATTTTCCCTAATTAATGTTTACAATAAAAACATTGCGTATTGTTTCTTCGACTTCCTATTTACAGCTCAGACACTTAGGTTTAGTATGTTATTTATGGTATAGTATTTCTAGAAAGTGACGACTTTCCGGACAAATTTGATTCATCATCTCAGTTAATCAAGTCCTGCTTTGAAAATCGATCATTTGGGGATGTATGTTTTGTATTTTTGCCTTGTCACACAGATCCATGGCGTCCATATGATCTTTTAAGAGCGATCCTGATAACAAAAAGGAATGTTTTAACATTTAATTTAAAATAAATTAAATTGTTAATCAACTTACACGTAGCTGCTTCGTCGGTGGCTGATTGCCAATACAACCATTTTGAAAAAGTAAAGCGAATTCACGACTCTTTTTCATCTTCAGCATCGATAATATATTGGACGAATCTCAAAAAATTACCTTTTGCTCCAATTTTGTTGCTTAAACATCGATATGCTTTTGGGTCCTTTCTACAAATAGAATTTTAACGATAATTGATTAAAAGTTAAAATTAAAATAAAACGAATAAAATTAAAGTAGAATACAAATTTGACACAGAAAATAACCTTTTACATACATAGAGAGAAACAATAATTCCAATAATTCCGGAGATATGACAAAAAAAGAAAACTATATTTTAGTCTCTAAATTCCCATAAAGTTAGGCAGCATAGACCTATTCTACGGTCTACTATTGCCTTAGTCTATTTAACCTAAAACCAAATTGGGCAAAATTACCAAAAATATTCGATAGTTTTTTGCTATGTGTAAGGTATATAGAGCACATCTGTCATATAAGTATGTGTTAGGGTCAAAAATCGTTGTTAACAGTTCTTTCTTGGTTTCTCATTACTTTTTATTTTACCAAGCTGGGCCTACGTATAATCAAGATTTATTCAGAGCCCCGGATCTGTAGCATTCTTAAGTAACATGCTATTTAGTCTGGTAATAATTTCAAATATAAAACAACAAGAAGGAAGCGTTGCAGTCGGCCAATAGACTCATTTTCCGCTTTGAACAGAGTATACAGAGACTTTAAATTTATTTACATATTATCTTAAATATATATATATGTATGTATGCATGTGTATCTCTCACACCCTTGTCTATGTATAATCAGAGCATTTCAATCTTTTAATCCCAAGTTCTGCTCCCACCGCTTTTGCCAGTTTTCTTTCAAGTAACCCCCTTCCCAAATGGTCTTAATTGCGGCCACTCTTGGGAGCTGTATTAGTCGTATGTATATGTAAATAGGATAATGAGTCGTTTGTCTTTTTGGACTTGTTTCAGGACTTTCCTATATGGTTTTGGTTTTTATATCAGTTGGTCCAAAGTTTCTAAAAGTTATCTATTTGCAAATGAGTACGGCTGTGCGTCCACAAATCATTTAGCCCTAAGTTATTGGCCTGCTACCACCCACATTCTCGTGCCCCTCTTTTATTCATTTGTCAAGCTAGCCAATCCCCCGCTGCCGCTGCGTTCATTGTGCTTTTAATACCAATTCTTATTTCACACGAAAACTTGGACTTGGACCTGGAACTTCTTTTTGTTTTAATACGAGAGGGTACTATAATTTTCTTATGAAAGGTGACACGCAAACCAGCATACCAGACATCGCCGACTTTGAAAAGCATATACATATATTCTTGTTCAGTATCAACAGTCAAGCAGACATACCCGAACTCCCATCGCACCACTATAGAAACGATAGAAAATGGAGCTCTTCAACTTTGTTGTTTTCCATTAAGATTCACATCAGAATACCATATCATATAACTCCATAGACAGAAATCGGTCAAAAGATGTGTTTTTATATAGAAAACTGTTGTGTATTTCGCTTGAGAAAAGGCTTACAAATATCACACTTTTCTTGAGCATTCTTTTAAAGGATGTTGGACATTCGGCCTGCTGTAGTTAGGTGTTATTTTTATTGTTTTGCAGTCTGCCTGGAGGAACTTTTGTTGTTGGCCTTGTTAGTTTTCTGTAGTGCATGTTGCGTCGTCTCCTGTCGTGTTGTTCCGATTGTGGTGAATGTTAATAATGGCCCAATGTTTGCCAAAGGATACCATTTCACTTACTCCGACTAGTGCTGCTGCTGTTGCTGCTGCTGCTGTGGCTGCTGTTATTTGTGGCATGTCCTTGTCTTTGCCCTTGTGCTGGGCCTATACATGGGCCTGGCTTACAATAATAGTGATTCCAGGCAGCAAGCTGTTTCTCCGAACTTAACACAAATCCCTTTGCCCGAGCTCTTGGAATTGGTGCAAAGTGCAATTAAAGATTGAACCTGTCGGTAAATAAAACTAAACAGCTTTTAGGCAGCTCACAGTTCACAGCTCGTAGCTCGTAGCTCGTAGCCCGCAGTAACTAACCTTGCCACAAATGAAGCAACACGTGTTGCAACAGTGTGGTTCATTTCTTTTTATGGATGACAAAGTGCTTTTAATTAGGCAGTCACAGTCTTAAGCTATAGAGTGGATAGTTATACAGGAATTCCACTTGCATCTTTGAGCTTCTCCTCTCTATCTCTCTCTCTATCTTCCCAATACGATATTCAAATCTTTCTAATACAATTATTGGCTAGATTTTCCACGGGAAGCAACTAAGGAATATCGGATTTCATATTTACGACTTAAAGACTACATTTCTCAACCGCATATCTAACCGCTGGAACTCAAAGTTTTACAAATGTTACAATAATTTGACTAGCAGGCCCTGTCGCCTTTTCTCGCACATCTTTGAATGCGCGCTTTTTGTATAACATGTTATATATATTTTTATTTGTGAAGAAAAGACAATTTAATTGAGTTCAACAAATTTCCAGATATTTCACCTGGAATTCAGGAGCTACGTTGAGAGTATGTTTTGTATTTCACACTTGCTTGTCAAACTAAATTAAAGAACATTTAAATTTTGCTTCCCTATTTACACGTGTCAACATACGTTTTTATACATAAGAAAAGAAAAATTGAAAGCTGAAAACCTAATCAGGATACAAAAATTTCAAATAAGAAACGTTAAAGGTATTTTTTTGCCCGTGGGACCAGCTATGCCCATTTTTACAATCTGGCGAATTGCAATGCAAAACCAGTTTCTATATCAAATATAGACCAAAACATAACTAGGAAAACTTTAAACTGATTTTGGCCATGGCTGCAGATATTTCTTATATCGATTTCGCTAAACTAACATACTTTCAGTTGAGATCTTAAAGTTAGAGTGCTTTAGCGACCTGCTGACCTTTTTGAGAGATCAACACTACGTATACGTGATATATATATGCATATACATATATATATATATATATATGTATATGTCATTTGGTTATATTCGGGGCACATGTCTGTCTGGCAGGTAGCGACAGCAGACATTATAATGTACATATGTGCATATAAATAATATAACAGTTATTAGAAGCCACACTCAAACACACACTTAAACATACATATACACACACATACACACACACACACAATTGCCAGCGACTTCCTGTTGGCAGATACTTTGCCAGCCATCTTGGCGCTGTTCTCATAACGGTAAACAAGTCAACAGTCCGCCGCGAGTGTGAGTGTGTGTGTATGTGTGTGTATTTGTGTATATGTGCGTGTATGTGTGTGTATGTGCGTGTATGTGTGTGTGGTGCTTACAACGCTCAGCTACGCCGCAAGGACGACAATAATAAGAGCGATGACAACAAGTAGCAGAGCGTCAGATGCATATGTTCGACTTAAAGATACTCTGTAGAATACCAAAACAAACGAATCACATCAGTTTGTTATATACGGGGTATTCGAGGGCATATATATGAAATCCATAGTTAGTACGACATCTGTCCTTATTAAAAAACACTAATCTCTAATCACTATGCAGAGCTACAGAGATATGAATAGTAATATACATAATCGATTTTTTTCAATCTAAATGTTATCCTTCCACTTTATCCGATGGATGTGAAGAAAGCGATAGAAAAGCGATATTAGGAATTAGCGATGTATCCGAAATGTATAATACATATACCCTATCT